TTATTTAATTAAATAATGCACCAAGGAACATAGACTAATAACATGCAATTTCTGGTTTTGTAACTATGTGACAAGAACCGTTACAAATTCATCCATGCTAGTTGTTAACTTTCCCACAGGAACGATGTTGGTACTTTGAGTGAAATTGACATCTAATTGTTCAGAACATAACGTTATACAGTATGTCATTTGATAGATGAAAAGTTTGACTTTCTATTGGTTATAAGTAATATATAATGAAACTAAGAGAGAACTATCAACGACTTCTGAAAGAGAGGATGTGACAGGTTGGTGTGGCAGGTGGGGTCTGATTTTCTATTGGATAGCCCTTTAACCAAACAAAATTGAAGACTATGAAAATTATGGTTTGTCTGAGCAATAATGATTTTATAGAGAGTAATTTACGCATAATTTTGTCCTTTTTCAAGGAGTGGTGGATAAAATAGGGATGATGACACGCTAAGACAAAATGTGTCAGGTGGGTCATACTAGTGGAAATTCAGTATTTTTTGTAATATTGCCTTGTAGAATTAAGAACTTAAAACTTGTATACTATTAAGATATGGGTTATTAGCTGAGATTTTTAGGCTATTCTATTTAGTATAACATAACCAAAAGTGGTTTAATAAAATTTTTAATGTAAGACACTAAAACCTTGTGTTATGTGCACTAAAGGATACCTGTGGCAATAGGGTTAAAGAGGTTTGTTTTTTATTATTTGTTTTTATTATTTAAGTTTATAATTAGAGGACAACTCAGAGGGAAGGTTACCTTTATAAACAGGTCACATCCCGTAAAGGAGCAACAAAAGTATATGGGTTATACTTTTATGCTAAAATGGGTTCAGAATACACTTACTGACAAGTCATCTATAATAAATCAACCTAATAACCCGAGTGAAACTTTGACCCTTGTTACGTTAAAGAAAGATTCCTTCGTTTGATGAGTGACCATGTTTATCCTTGTATTCTGCTACTTTACTTTACTTGTTTATTTTAGCTCAACTTAGATGATGGGATTAAAAGTTGAAGTATGTAATTTTCTGGCTTCTGGAGAAAAGTGTATATTATATGTTTATTTTACACACACACTTCAACCATATAGAGGAATCAAAATGATTTTCAAATAATCCTGATACACACGGTAGGTTTTCTATTAATCTTATAACTTTTATAAGAGTAGTTTTATTACGTTCATTCAAAAGTTCATCATATAGAATGCCAGATATAAAAGTAACATATTTGTTACTTTGTATTCCAGTGTTCTTTAGAAAGTGAGGATGACTGGTCCAGAGAAGGAGAAAAATTTGGATCACTTACTTTTGATGACAACTTGTTAGTAGAATGCAGTGATACTCTCTTCAGTAGTCTTCATTATAACCAGCTGTTTGATTTACCCAACCCTAGAGAATTTGGTAATTAGAAAAACTTTAATAATTTATGTTGAATTGTAAGCCATTTAATTCATATATATTTGACAAAGTCTTGTTTTTGCTGTCTTATTCTTAAATAATAATAATAATTAATAAATAATTACATATGTAACACAGACAAATCCTTCTTGCCATCTTATGGCCATATAACTTTGTTACAGTAGGTTTTGCTTCTAACAAGTGATTATTTGCTCCCAGTTAACAACCTATTTACATGGTATTTGCTGTTAACTGTAGATTTTAATGGAAAATACCAAACATAGAAATTGATCATCAGATGACAAACTAAAGTTATCTATTACTTTGGATTTAAAATTATCTATTGGGTATAATCTTTGATAGGTCCACACTATAGGCTAACATTTTGCCCATCATGCATAAATTATGGATCCAAATGTATGTTGGTTTTTTCATTTTATCATTGTAACTATTATTTGCTTTTTGTTCATAATTTTCATGATCTCTAAACAGTGTTATTTATTGTTGAATATTGATATTTAAGCATGTATCATCAGCAGTAGATTGTGATAATATAGAAATAATGTGTTTAGAAAAAAAATCTCAATATTATCTTCCTCAGGTGAAGCCACTATCCTTTATTAACAGGAAAAGTATAACAGAAGTAATCATTATAAGTTTCAGAAAATGACTACAAAAGATATTTATTCTCTTATTGTTAAATTGTTCTTGTGCTAAGTGATAATCAGTTGTCTCAAAGTAAATGATAAACCAAATGCTTTGAACAGGAATATTTATATTTTATAGTAAATGCAGTTGATACATTTGTTATAAAAGTGGCTGTATCTGAAATACCTTCTGTTGTATTAATAAAGTGTCTAAAAATTGATACTGTTACAAGAGAAAGTGTGAATTTAATACCTACCTTTGTATTAATACAATATTCTAGAGTTGATAGGTTGTTGTAAGAGATGGAGTACAACAGTAGTATCCACTATTATGCAAACAAGAGAAAGTGTGATTATATTATCCATATACCAGTACAACTTTTTAAAGCTGTTAGATTGTTACAAGAAAAGGTGTCACTGTAATATCCATCATTATACTAATATCTCTTCCTAAGGTTGTTAGATTGTTACAAGAAGTATGACTGAAATGTCCACTATTATATTATTGCATCTTCCTAAAGTTGTTAGATTGAAAGTGTGACTGTAATATCCACCATTGTAGTAATACAGCTTTGTAAGGTTGTCAGATTATTATAAGACGTGTGACTGTATATTCACCATTATACTGATATAACTTCCTAAAGTTATTGGATTGTTACAAAAGGTGTGACTGTAATATCCACTATTATACTAATACAACTTCCTAAAGTTGTTAGATTGTGACTGTAATAGCCATTTTTAGAAGTTGGCAGACTGTTACAACAAAGAATTATCTTGACACTACTTTTAAGTAGTGTCTTTGCATTGTTTATCTGTTCTGACAGAGTAATTGACTTTGAAATATTACCTGACAGTAATGCAATTTGTTATAGTGGATGTTGTTGTTTTTTTAACAAGGAACGGGAAAAATTATTATTTTGAATACAGTACATTACCTCTGCTCACATAAATAGCTATTCTCATTCAGTGCTGTCCTCTATATGCAAAAAACAAATTATGCATACTATAACCTTCTATCTCGCCTCCGTTGGAATTGACTCATTCCAATGAATCTCTCATTCAAATCATTAGACATCAACCCTTCACCAATAACAGTGCGACACACTCTCATGACACATGTGACTCCCTCTATTCAATTCTACCGAACTATCACTTGTATTCAGGCGTTTTTCTTTTGGTGCTCTTTGTATGAATCGTCACTTTAATAGTTTAATTTTCGAAGTGAGATTTCTTCATTATTAATTTTTTTCATTACATTCAAGAAATATTTTAATTTAACTATAATTTCCCAGTCTTTATTTTTTTCTTCTCATACTCTCATATTTAACATCAAACACTTTTGTTTGATTTATGTATTTCTCCAATGAATTCTGAGGTTCATATTCCCACTTCGAGTGTTATGCCTCTAGCACTATTTTCACAGACTGTATGTAGGGGAGACCCGTCATTGGATTTCTCTGCTATTATCCATCATGAGATTGATTGTTATATGGGTCAACCTTCTTCTTCTGAAATTGCCTCACTAATCCTCCTGAATCCTAGTGATGCGACCTTATCCTGGGTACATTTGCTGCCTCTTTCTTTTCAGGATTTCTGTATTTTTTCTTTGGTGATATGTTATCGATTATGTATCTGAGACTTTGGAATCTCGTGTGCATCAACACTCGACCCTTTCCCTCTTTAGTTGAGTGTTTGACACAGATGGAGCCATGACACTCCCCTATTCCTTTCCTGTCCTGGTTCTTATCTACCCATCCCTGTCCCCCTTCCAGGGGTTTCTCATCTCGTTGTTTTATTCATTGTTGATGGGCATGTTGTCGACAGTACCAGAGACTAACTAGAGAGTTCCAGTCCAGTGGAAGCTTCACTATATTATATTATTACTCTTTGGCAATCTCTCATTACAGTTCCATGGGTTCTTTGGGTTTTATCAGAAGGACTTGTCCTACTATTTCTATCCCCACTTCCTTTGTCCCTGGTACCCTTTTCTTTCCCCATGACTTGGGATCCTGCCACCAGCCTGCATCTGTCCAAGGAGGTACAAGATTTTCTGTTTCTACAGACTGTTGCACCTGTTCATCATCTTTCTCCTGGTTTTTATTCCAGGCTGTTTGTTGTCCTTGCCCCAAACCGGAGGCTGGCAACCTGTACTAGGTTTTTCCTGCCTCATTCTAATTTCCACTTTACCTTGTAGTCGTTTCTCACCCTTAGGTGGGCTTTTTCTCTAGGTTTATTGATGGCAAAGAGGAATGTCGCAAATGATTATTTGCATATCCTGATATTTTGTCACTAGTGACCCTCTCTTCAATTTATTCTCCACGGAGTGGTTTCTCTATTTCACTCACTGCCATTTGGACTTGCTTCAGCCCTATATGGTTTGTCGGGTGTTCAGAGCAATCGTTCATCACTTGCATGTTCTTGGGCTGCACTTTCCACTTCCTTTGGTCGACTGGCTACTTCACTCATTCCAAACAAGAGTCTGCCTGTTACCCTTATCAGCTGCTCTTGGAGGTGGCCATAATGGGCTGTTAATCAAGTTGGAGAAGTTCTTACTGCGACCTATACAATATCTTGTCCATTTGGGTGTTTTTCTTTTTCTACACACATCATAGTTGGGCCCGCTCTTCTTCTGTTTGACTTCGTTCGATGGGTTTTCAGTTCAATTACAGCTCGCGAAGTTCTGTTGCTTTTTGGTCTGTGATCTCCTATGGTAGCCCCTATCCCCTTAGGTCAGGCTGATATGCAGGTTCATTCCTGGTCTTTCCATGACCAGTGGAATTTCCCAGGGATCCTCTTATTAATCTTCCTCTACCCTTGCCGTTGATCTGCATTGGTGGTTCGATATGACTCGCATGTCAGCAGGTGTCCTGCTTCCTCCTCATCATCCAGTTTTACACATTTCATGGATGAATCCTTTAGCAGATGGGGGCTTGAGTTGATCAACTGGAAGATTCAAGGTTTTTGGTCTGTGGCCAAGAGGTATTTATTAACATCCTGGAGCTTCTTGCTGTTGGTCGTGTGTTGATTCATTTTCTCTATCTGGCCAGATATTGTGTGGTAATTATCTATTCCCAATTTTCTTTAGTGGTTGCTTATCTCAATCACAAGGGTTCCATCTGTTCTCCATCCCTCCTTATTCCTATGTTGGGTCTTCTTTTTGGGCCCATATGCTCAATATTCCTATCATCGTGTGTCATGTTTAGAGTGCTTTTGATCTTGTTGTGGATTGGATTCCTGTTCAGACTACATTTATCCAATGGAGTGGTCTCTCAATCCTTTTGTTTTCCAGTGGCTTTGATTTCAGTGGTATACTCCTCACATTGAGGCTTTTGCTACATCCCTTAACTACAAATTCCCTTGGTTTTTGGTCTCTAGTTCCTCGTCTTCTTGCTCTGGCTATCAATGTGTTCACCCAGGATTGGACCTACACATTTGTCTATAGGAAATACATTTTCAGGGTAGGAAAATTGTAACTCCTGTCATGGATACAAATGGAGTTTTCTCAAGATGATGATCCCTTGTAACAAAATATGCTACTCTAATAGCCTTCATGGTGTTCATTAATATTTTTTATTATCTGTAATCAATTATGAAAGAAAGATTTGTTGAAAGAACATACTACAATACCAATTTAATTTCCTCAAGATAATAGTCTGTTGAAATAGAAAAGGCTGCTAATTCCCTCCCTTGTTTTAATGCAGGTTCATCAAATCAGTAATGTACTACAATAGGAAAACTACTAATTCCCTTCTTTGTTTTAATGCAGGTTCATCAAATCAGTAATGTATTACAATAGGAAGTGCTACTTTTGAATTTATCATAATACTAATATAATTTCCTAAAGATTCAAAATGATATCTTTTTTACTGAAGAAATAGCTAATGTAGAACCAACCATAATATTAATACAGATTTTTAGTTTTATTTTTCATTGAATTGGATAAAGCTATTGTATTGCCCATATCCATACTCATGTTGATAGTTTTGAACAGGCTTATGTTATAATACTAATACAATTTAATTAAGTCATTGTTCTGTGACAATAGAAAGAATTAATGTAATATAGGAATTAATCTAGTGAAACATTCAGAAAAGCACTAAATTTTTAGTATTATCATTATTAAACAAGTAATTTACAGATTATTTCAAATAATAAAGCTTTGAAAGGATATTTTTTACTTAGAATTTAATCAGTTATGTTAAACGTACTTCTGAATACAGTATAGATTACATAACTGAAATTGTTGGATTTTGACATCAGTTTCTTAAATGTAATTAATTCTGAACCAGACCATATAAGTAATTTTTTTATTGAATTCTTTGGCAGTTAAAGGTGTGAATGCTGACTTTATTCAACCAGGCTTATCTCAACTTCATCCTTCATTTGATGACATTATGGACACGTTGGAACCCCTGTCAGGTAAAATTCCTGTTTCAAACTTCCATTAATTTACTGTTACATGGACTGATGAAGTAATTTCAAAAATAATGTTAGTTTATTAACTCTTAAGTATTGTTCATTTAATTGTGTTTTTAAATTAAAATTAAGTAACATTAATCTGTTGAACAATATATAATAGTTTTTTTAAACTTTAAATTTAATTTGTTGATTCTTGTTATCAGAGAAATAATATTGAGATTAGATACTTTAGTTCAATTATAAAATTTATAAAACTTATTTTTAGTAAGCTGCATTATATCATCAGTTGTGTGTCCTAGGTCTTAAGAGTTTTTTTTTTATCATAATCTAAATTTGGACAGTTTGGGTAAATATAAATTAGGGCACTCCAAAAAAATAACAAACCTAACATTAGAACAAGGTAGTTGCACTGTAAGTCAAAAAAGGATCAAAGTTTTTTTTAAGTTTAACTGTTATCACGAGTTTTCACTAAAACAATAAAACTAAATAGTAGTAATCACATGATAGCACACAAATTGTCCATTAGCAATGTATAAACAGCTTATTCATACAGAATACTTCAGTGATTCTAGTTACCATTCATGTAATTGCAACAATATACATTAAATATACATGATTAAGCTTTACCAAACATATTTGTAAAGAAAAAAGATGCAATATAGCAGTTTATAGTATTAAGAAAACTCTATATTGTGTACTGGAAAGTAATCTCAAAGAAATACTCATTTTTGTCATTTTAAAATGAATTTCAAATTTGGTTTTTTATATTTTTCATTTGTACATTGATAATAATTTTTTTAGGTAGACTAGAAAAAGTTTGTTACCATTAAATTATTGTGGGTTTCATTACATTTTGGCTGTTTCAGTTTTTGATATCCATATTTGTACTAGTGTTGATTAATTTTATGTTTGTTAGATTAGTTTAATTGTCAACGGTTATAGTTTTTTATCCACAGATTAGCACTAGCATTGGTTAGTGATTGTTTAATAGATCAATTCAGATTTTAGTAGCTTAAAACTGTTGTAACTTTTTTTCTTATCTTCAGGCTGGTACTAGTGTTGGTTAATTTTTGTATTTAATATATTCTTGTAGACATTACAAACTTTCAATTTTTTATCTGCAAATTATTGATAGTGTTGTTTTAAATTTAGTTTTTGGCAAGTAGATCATTATAGGCTTTATTTACTATCATCTGTTGTCATTTTCCAATACGGTCTTAACTCTACTCACACAAAGCTAACTTGATTTTCCTTCTGCCCTCTAAACATTACTAAAAACTTTTCCTGCTCAGCACACCAGTCTATATACCCATTAATTTTGACCCATTTTTAGATATTTACATATCATGTCACTACTCCTCACCAAGTTTTTTTGCATGTAGCTACCATTTATGAATGTGCTTATTTGCCATTTCAAATCTTTTCTCAAGTTTTATTTTACTGTGTTTGCATTCAATTGTTTCAACATTATCTTTTATTTGTATTTGTTTCTTGTTACTGAATTGTATGAATTTGCGATTCAATGTGTTGACTACAGTAGTTCCCGTTACAGTCGACGATGCTACTGATACAACTTCTCAGGAATCGGCTTCAACTTAATTGTAGAGGAGGTACAGGCCTTATTTCACAGGGAGCTAGATTCATATGTTCAGCTGGTGATTTCGTCTCCTTTTCAACCTGACAAAGTTGCTGAGGAAGAATACAATCAAGGTGAAGACAATTTGGATTCTCTTTTTCTGGCACCCACTTATTTTGGTCTGTCACACTCAGCACCTCTTTAGGAGATTTCATCTTTTTTTTACAGCTGGTTACTCAAATCGAGGCACATTCAGTTTTTGTATGCTCGAGACAAGGGTGATTTTGCTAGTTTTCTATTCCTACTCATGTTGCTGTGCCTCCACATCGTTCACTTTGGTGGATATTTGTTCTTCTCCTCATATCTTTCTGTGGCTTCCAGATCTTTCAGTGGTTTGGTGGTAAGTTCTTCGACTTTTATATTTTGCACCGGTAGTAGGCGCAACTCAGGAGCTCTTTGTGTGGGTTTGTCCTTCTTTACATATGATAGAATTAAGTATTTCACGTCATCAGTGTTTGGGCTTTGGTAAGTTAGATATTTATGTGTCCTTTGTCATCTAAGTTAATTTAAATTTATTTTAAGTGAGATATTGATTATTACGTTGTTTTTTAGGTAATGTTACTCAGTTTACACGTTTGTTATTATTACGTGCTTTATAAACTAGGTAAATTTCGATGTTTTGGCATTTCAATATTAATGAGTACTTTGTCAACTATGTGTGTTTAGATAGTTTGTACCTTACATATCATTCCTGCTAGTAACATCTATTTCAAAACATACTTACCTTCATGCACACTACAGCTATTACTCGACTGCTAGGGTTTCTTTTCCTTTGCCCATCTAAGCATTGATTTGTTTTTTCTCTATTGCTTCAGTCTTTTATTCCCCACCTAATTGCCCTTGGCAATATCTGTCATGTGACATTATCCAGCTACATCAGTGCACCCTCTATCCAGATACTGTGTATAAGCACCTCATTCAGATAATATTGTCATGTTTTCTCGACAAAGCACTCACTAACGAGTTTCTCTGTACTACGATCATTGGAGATACTTCGAGTGTTCTTTGTGTTACCTAGCTGAATTTCATTTTTTTTAAATTCCGTTTGGCAAGCTGATGTATGGCATGAATTCCCAGGTTATTATTTCAAACGTGGAGGCAAATCAGGTCTCTCCTATGCCACCTCTGATATCATGTGTCATTCAATAGTCAGGGGGTGGGAGAGTCACTTTCAGTTGAGACTGTAAATAACCTTATTCGTAGTGAGATGAAGACATATATTCAGTTCGGGGGCTCTGAGGCTACAATGGAAAGTGATCCTGGACATTCTGCAGCGAAATTAGATTCACTTTTTCCTGCACCTTCCTTTATTCTGTTGGCTTCTCAAGAGGCCACTTTGGGATCAGCTGCCTCAGGCTCCTTTTATTCAGTTGGTTCATCGAGTGTGTGATGTTTTGGGGTCTTTCCCCAGTTGCTTTTGAGCCTGCACATTCCTTGATGGCTGATATTTGGTTCACGCAGGGAATTTTACTGCCCAGTTACATGAAGGAACAGCTATGCCATGGTTGTCAGAACTACATGATTTAGCCTACCACCGCCAGGTGGAAGCATATTCAAATTCTCAAAGAATACATCTGCTTCTGGAAAATTAGGGTTCTAGAGCTGAGTTATTTATTATCTCTTTCAATTTTGTTGGAAGACTCAGGATCACCACATCCACTGACGATGAATTGGGACCATTGTTAGTATGCACATTGGTTTGATTGTCAGCTTCTATATTTGAGTGTCCTGACCCCAAATTTCAGCTATTTGGTCCACTGGTAACCAGAAGAGTCTGTCTGTATCCAAGGGTTCCTCCATTTGGTTAGAATGCCATCAGTGGTGTCAGTGATTATTGTATGCCTTTGGGGTCTGTGTGGGCTTGGCTCTTAGAATGTCTCGATGTGTGCTAAACCTTAACCACGGATCCATGAAAACTATAGGTCCTTGAGTCAGGATTAGTCATTCAGTTCACATCTTCACCACCATCATCCACCCAACCTGTAGTGTTTCTGCCTCCCACAGATACTATAATTTTGGAACTTCGTGCTAGGTCTATCAGGGTTTTGTTGGTTTGAGGGCAGGGGAGAGAGTCATGCTAGTTTATCCAGGGTTTTATTCCTGTCTCGTTATTGTGCCCAAAAGACAGGAGATGGATATCCAGTCATCGATCTTTTTCATCTATATCAATTCCTAGATCCTCCAAGATTCACAAGTGAGTCATTCTTCACTCAGAGTTGGCATTTTTTTACTAGGATTGTTCAATGTCACCAACGCTTATCTGTACATTTCCATAGTCGTGATTACCCACCACTATCTGCATTTTGTGCACAAGGTTTAGGTGCTGCAGTTTGAGGCTCTGACCTTCAGACTAGAATCAGCACCATATGTTTTCTGCCAAATTATACGAGTTTTTTCTTGTCACATCCTCTCCCTAAGCCTGTGCACACACACCATCCCATGGATGACTGGTTACCACTGGCACTATCTCGTTGATTGTCAAAACATTGCACTTGGATTCTACTTTCAGAAACAACCAAGGCAGGCTTTATTTTCAGAGCTGAGATATCTGCTCTCATTTCAACACTATGTATCATCAGTTTGGGTATCTTTTTCATCACGTACATCAGTCAGACTCAGCTGACTCCCATCCAACCCCAAGCCATGGAACAGGAAGTCCAACTCTTATTCACCTCTCCTCCCACTTCATGGATAGTTCTTTCTCTTATGAGAATGTGGGCATCACTCAAATCTTTCATTCCTTTGGGATGAGCACACAAAAGGTCCCTTCAGTGGTCTTTATGTAACCAATGGATCATGAACAGCAATTCACTAGATTCCCTAGCTTCCTTATTTAGGATCTTTCTCTTTGATCTCGAGGGGTGATTAGGTTGGAACAATATTAAGATACGAGTTCCTCTACTGTCGCCTTGTCCAGAGATCCATCTCTTTATGGATGCCTCTCTTCAGTGATGGGGTGCATATTTGAATAGTCAGGAATTCCAGAGTCTATGCATGGAAGTCTAGACATTCCTAAACAATGTTTTAGACCTTTTTGTTGTTCAAAGGGCAATGTCTAATGGTCTGGGCTTATTAAGGGGAAAATCGTCAGGCTTCACTTTGACAGTTCCACAGTGATATCTTGCATTTCCCATCAAGGGGACACTTAGTCCAGGGCTTTTTATTTTTGAATCTTGGATCTTTCTTGGGACCACTCCTATCACTGGCTTGCCATGTTCCATGAGTGATGACTTCAGTGACAGATTAATTTTTTCAACCCAAACCGATTCTTCTGACTGAATGGTTGGTGTGTTAGCCACTCACTGGAACACACAAATACTGGCAATTTGATCTCTGGCACCTCACCCTCAAGCTTCGGCAATAG